ATGGGTCTCTCCATCTTCACCAGCATTATTGTCAGAGTCATGAACCTCCTCCTATTCTTCTTCGTCAGCTTCTTCTTCTTCATCATCAACTAAGTTCGTCTTTTCTTTCTCTCTTTCCTCTGATTTTCTTCCCCATCTACTGTGTTGTCTTCTACTTGATTGTCTACTACTTCATATTGAACCTCTGGAACTTGTTCTCCTTCAACCTCTAGGACTTGTTCTTCTTTAACCTCTGCAACTTGTTCATCTTGAACCTCTGGAACTTGTTCTCCTTCAACTTCTGGGACTTGTTCTCCTTCAACCTCTGCAACTTATTCTTCTTGAACCTCTGGAATTTGATTTACAGTAGTCGTTATAAACTCCACCTCCTTCTATACAGGTTTCGTTCTCTTCTTCTTCCTTCTAGTCCATTGTGTCTTCACCATTTTCACAAGATTCCTACAACGACATTTACGGAATGAGACCAACCTAAATAGAACCTAAATGAGATCGATCTAATCGAGAAGAGAACCTAAATCAAAAGAGCATCAGACTAATCTAATAGATCTCATATCCTAAATCAAAAGAGTGAAGAATGAGGAGCCGACATACCTGTTGATCGAGAGAGGAGAGCTCGAGAGAAAGATGAGATGCTTCTGGAGATTACTGATCACTCTACCCTAGTTTTCTAAGTTTCGTGAGAGAGAAAGGAGAAATAGATAGAGAAATTTAGAGAGGACTCTGAAGAGTCTCGAAATCGCATTTGATTTTAGGGTTTAGTTAGGAGTTCCGACCAGATCCGACGCGCCAGTGGGCCGGTGGGTTTAACCCTGGTTCTCTTCGTAAATATAGTGACTTACCCTGGTTTTTTGTATTTAACTTATTTTTTGATTTAAAATTAAATCAAAAATAAACTCAAGTTATAACATGGACATCTTAGAAATACAAAACAGATGCATGGGCTCTACAGACGATTTCTCTCTTTCCAGGCATCAATATCGCTGACGACGCTTCACTTCAGATGCGAGCTCAATGTTCTGTTCAAACCCTATGTATTCATCATTTATTGTGTGTTTTAATGGCTTGAAGTTGAGAATTATTCTTTAAAGCAGTTACTTTTATTATCTAATTACGGAAAAATTGTGTGGCTGAATACATGGAACATGAATCTACAACATGTCTAATGGAATCGGGAAGAAGGAATAAGCAGCTTCCTTTTTTTTTTAATTTAATGCCTTTGGAGGTTTCTCTATGTGAAATGCAGATGAAAGGCTGCATTTGTCTTCTTAAAGCTGTTTTTTTCTTTTTGTCAAATAATTGGTTAGTTGCAGACAATGTCAAATCTGAAAGATGTTGAATGTTAAGAAGTTCCAACTGTTTTGAAGGTTTCATTTGCTTCTATGACATTGAATTATTTTCTTCCGGGTTCTACTTAACCTTGTAAGCATGTGTTATTTGAGCTGAAATGTTGTGTACAAGGAAGAATACAATATATCCATTGAAAGAATCCCATAAGTCTTAACCAGTGGCGGCCTGCTCATATCATGGAGTTTTTTTTTTTTGGGACAAACTTATATAGTATGGAGTTCCAAAACCTGATCCAGCTTTGTTGTATCACTCACGATACATACCATAATTTTTTTACTGTTTTTTTTTATCATTAAAAACCTCAATCAATATCGACAACATTAATACCAAAAAGAGGTTTACATAAATTTTTAAAATTGAAAGTCCGGCCCATTAATTTTGAGCCCAAACCCAAAAAATAGCTTCGACGACGTTGGTTCGTTCATCATCGTCGCCCTCCTGCAAAGCGAAACAAAATAGAAAATTATTTTGAAGGTCGGTACATGTCTATTTTAAAAATTGGAGGTAAATTATGAAGAAATCATCTAGGATAAGTTTTTCAACACCGGTCAATCACCATTTAATGAAAGTGAAAACTGGAGAGGCATCCGGTTCCGGTTCTGCCACCAACAAGTCTACAGCTAAAGCAAACAAGGAAGGATGCAAATGCACCCGAGAGTGAGACACTCAATTCTATCAAACCGTCAGCCCACCAACCTTTCACTATTTTACAGTTCTTTATATTATTATGCTTTTCTTATTTGAACTTTGCTATGTTTTCAATATTACTCATAAGATGCATTTTCTACTATTTTATATTTAGATGTAGGGTTGTGACGTAAGCTTATGCTCTTGGCAACAAAAATGTAGAACTCCACTATTTAATTCACATATACCTACCAGAACCAACATCTTTTTCCTTGCATTACAACTACAACAATATACGTTATATAGTTCTCCTTTTTCAATTATGCATGAAATTGTTATTCTCTTACGGAAAACACTACTATATTAAACATAAAACTGCTATCCAGACTATAACTTTAATGTACTACAACAACTTATTGTCATCATTCTGGCGCTTGCGTGGAGCTGTCTCTAGTATTTTAAACTCCACTTCCAAAACTCTATCCTTAACTCTAAACAAAAAGATTTAGGGTTAGTTAATTCTAGAGGCATAAGATTATAAGAGTATATTTGCCATTCAATAAAATCTCTTTTGGTCATTTTCTACCTTGAAGATTTCTTTTATAAAAATAAACTAAAAGAGGCTATCCTAGAAAATTTCTCTTACATTTTCGACTATGTCATCTTGACGGCATAATTCATCTGGTTAATGCGCTTTTAGCCATTGATATCGATATGGCGGATTTGGATCCCAAAAATAATTTTACTCGTTACATCCCTTTATATACATGAGAGTTAAATATCCGCATAACATATAAATGTAGTGATAAGCATGACAGTTACCCAGAAATTATTTAATCTTTCTCATACAAAATTACATGGATCTTTCCTAAAACAAACATTTTTAACACCTGAAATTACTTGTCATTCTCATTCTGACAAAATAAAAATAAAGTAATATTTAACATACATTTCTTTGTATACTATTATCTCAAATTAAAATGATTATTTATCTCAAATGACAAAGATTAATATTATCATCATATGTAAACAGCTTTTAAGAAGACATGACTCATTGTTTTGTAACGTTCCAAGGATGTTGGAACCCCTTTGTTTCATGATTTTTCTCTAAGTAAATTCCATCAGGTCTGGCAACCCATGAACGAATTTCACCACATCGTAGCCTCATGGCTCCTCTATATGCATGCCACAGAATTTGAAATTTTTTTACTTTATTCCCTTGTTGTAAGAGGCAACGCCATACAATTCTATCTCCTACCCCTCTCTCTCTCAGATAAATTTGATATTTATCATTGACTTTTACCTCGTGGAGATCTTCAACTTCGTTTCTGTTGGATGAACAATTAACTTTGAGAATACTACCTGGATCGAGTTTATTTTGAAATTCTATAGTGTTTAAGAGACATTGGTTTTGACACTGTGGGAGATTGCGATTATCAATATTACACACAATACCTTCATTCAAACCAAAACGTATAGCAATAACTAGCATAAATATGCAATACTTCATCTTCTTTTATCTAAAGTAATTTCTGAAGAAAGATGATTTTATAGACGTTAAGGTGGTATATATTTATAGATGTAGGTAAACATGCTTCAATAAATTATCTAAAAGGTAATTACTAAAATTAACACATATATGAACCAGTCAAATTTGTGGTAAAAAAGCATTTGAGATCGAGAATTAAGGTAAATTTAATAAGACTAGACCAAATAAATCAAGAGAAATTAGCATGTATGACCAAAAAAAATAATTAACCAAATAACCATATGAAAAAATGGCCAGGATATGCAATACATTATTATGTAATATTACTATATTAATCCCTAAACAATCTCAACCTCTGATTCTTTTTTTTTTCTTTTTTTCCTCATCCCCCCTCTCATTTTAATTGATCTACTAGATTTTAACCCGCGCTTTAAAATTGCGGGTATAATTTTACTACTTTGATCAAATTTGATTGATTTTATAAATTCTATTAAAATAAATCATTTTAAATTTATTATATTTGTGTTTCAAAAATTTGTTCTATCCTATTTAATTTCCATTAAATGTTTTCATATTCGACTCAAACTGTGGTTGAACCGATAGATCCGATGACCTGTGTTAATCCGGTTCAAATTTAATAAAAAGTTGTTAGTTAAAAATTAGATAAACCTTGTAAAATCTAAAACCCGTTATTAACCCGTGATCCTATATCAAAAGATTCACTGAAAAAAAAATTTTTTTTTTGATTAAATAACTCATACATTTTAATATTATATAAGGCTGAGAATTTGTAATATCTTACACTTTTAGGAATTTTTTATTAAGTTATTTGAAAAAATGAAATAAAGGTAATAAAAAAGTAAACTTTATTGATATGACAATATTAATTTCTTTTTCGTTTTTTAATAACTTATGAAAGAAATGTTTGTTTATTTTAGATGTAAAATTTAATTTTATAATAAATTTTAAAATATTTTTGAAGGTTCAATATGTAAAAAATGACATGGTAAATAATATTTTTTTAATTTTCATATATATATATATATATATATATTGAAATTTTATTCTTAAATAGTACTAAGCAAGAAAACTAATATTCAAATTAAATGAAAGGTATTATTTACATAAAATTAGAATTAATATTATTTAAAATCCTCGATAGTATTAGTTACCAATAATATAGGAAACATTCTTTTATTTATTTTAAATAAATAATATAGATATTAAAATTAAATGTCAGTGGCATAGCAA